TGCTTGTCTGCTTCCATCTCCAAGAAAAATCCATAGACAAAATGGCCAGCATCCACCACTGTCAAACTTTAGTTTGAACTTCAGTTGATTATGAAGGTTCTTTCAAGGCAACTAACAGACCAAAGAATCGATCATAGAAAAGAACAAGAAGGTGGGGTCAAGAAAGGTTCCACTTACCATTTAGTACTATTCCATGTTGGTGTCAGCTTTGTCATGAAGAATAATAATACATCAACAAAAGCATCTAATTTGTCATACAAATGGATCGAAGTCATGGGGCCGGCTTGCCATCAAGGATCAATGACTCAAACCGGGCCGGCCGACCAAGTAAACTGGTCAACTGACACCATCAAAGCATGATAAGTATTTTTGAGACATTTGTCCACACAGAAGCTTATATGCTGGTAGTGCCAAGTATATATAGACATTGTTTTGTACTTAAAAAGCATAAGCCACTTCGTTTGTAGCACAAAATGACTGATAAAACCAGCCCTTTGCCTCATAAAACACTTCATCAAAATGTGGGCTGCCCTGGAGGCCCACAAGCTGCTTGCTACCGAAGTTCAATGCACTTCTATTATCATGGAAAGTGATTCTCTTCTACACATCAGAATTCTTCACAAAAGTGTAAAGATTTTGTGGAGATGCCAAACCATATCTAGGGAAACTGAACCGAACCAAAAAAAAAGACTGAAACAGAATCGAAAATTTGGTTAATAAAATTGGTCGGTTCGGTATTTAAAAAGATGAAGGTATCAGTTTAATTTCAGTTAATTAATATAGAAAATCGGCAGTTAATCGAACCGATTGGTATACATATGTTTCTATATATTATATATATTTATGTATATTATATATTTTTTATATATTATAAATTAATAATTATGCATTGTATATATAAATATATATTTATAATATATAATGAGTTATTTAATATTTAAAATATAATATTATATATATTTCTAATTTTTTATTATATATTTATATATTTTTATTATACATATAAAAAACCAAAAAACCGACAATTAATTAAACCGATCAACCGCTTAATCGATCAGCTTCGATTCAGTTTTAATTACTGCTTTTCCAGAAATTAATATAATATTGATTTGATTTCAAAAATAAACCCACGGTTCGAATAACCCCTAACGACAACAGATAACCGTAACGCTTAAGTCGAATCATGAACAAAAATCTTTTACAGACACAGCGAAGAGAAGGAAATGCAGCAGCAGATTGATTAAGGAATTGAGGCCAAGAAACCAAAGGGTCTTGGTTTTATGGAAGTTGAGGTCAGGTGAAATCATAAAGTATAGTCACAGTACACTTTCATGTAGAGTGAATAATGTTTTCACATGCTCCCATTTGCCTCTAACATACATGAAAAACCGTGGGTACTAGTATCAATAATAAGAATCTTTTCTTTGACAGACTTGTTAATTGATAGACAGGCCGTAACTTGACTGGGAAAAACTAGAACTGTCAACCATCATCATCGTCGTCACCACCACCTAGAGCTGTAAATCGGGCCATGCCGCCCGTGGCCCAGTACAGCCCGGTTCGATTTTGGATCAGTCCGGTATGATGGTATGTGGGTTGTGTCAGATTCGGCATGATCATGTGGGTTATGCTGGGCCTGGGATTTTTGTTTCGCGGGCCAGGCTGGCATAGCACAACCAAGTGGGTCGTGTCACACGCGACCYGCATATTGGCACAGCCCATATATATTATTTATATATAACACATTTATATATTTATGTATATTATATATAACATTTAATATATAATATATTAATAAAACAAACAATTGTTTTCAATTTTATTATATTAATTTATTTAATTATTGTATATAAACAATTGTATATATCAAAATTCATATAAATTTAAAATTTTAAGTTTTTTTTAATTTTTTAAATAAATAGCTTTGGCCCAATCCATGGCTCGACCTGGCCCACGGACCAGCCCTGCCTGAGGCACAGCATGGGCCCACACGGTCTTGGGTCGTGGGCTGTTCCAGGCCGACCCCCCAAGTTATCCCAGGGGATGGCCCGATTTACACCTCTACCACCACCACCTAAGCCTTATCACAATATGGGTTTGGCTTCATGAGTCTAGGGCTCATCATGGGTTCGGTCAAGGCATCCTGCTGGCTAGGGATGGGTCTTACATTGATGATGATAAGGGCTTTAACTTAGGTCTAGACCTGTCTTGCACCTCGACCCTAAATTGTAAGTCCAAGCCTGGCCCTACATAGGCCTGGGCTGGTCTTATAGGCTTTCTAAGGGCCTAATGACTTGGGACCCAATAAATGTAATAAAAGTTAGATTACTTAAAAATTTTTAAATTAATTAATATATAATACATGAAAAATATTGCACTCAGCTATACTTTGGACTGTAAATCTCGGTTTGTTCTTCTTTTACACTCTGGTCCAGTTTTGCAGTCATTTGGATGGGTGTAAAGAAATAACGAAGACTGGTGTAAAACTATATTTTGAAAGATTTTTACATGAATAATTGATGTATTTTATACGTTGATTTTTTTATGTAAAAATCTATCAAACTGTCCATCGGTGTAAAAAGCAACAGCACTCTTCCTCCTGCTCTATCATCATCGAGTTTCTTCGCCGACACCCTCCACCATCGAGTTTCCTGTTTCTGTGTCATTTCCGATTCTGTGCGACGACTCTCTTCTCTCTGTTGATCCAAGTGCATGTAGAATCGAACGGCTGAGATCTCTGTCTGCCTTACCTGCATGCAAAGAGAATAATAACAGCTTCACAGTATAGGATCCGAGACACCAACCTCTCAAACAATGTGTAACAGAGAATAGCTTAATCTGATTAGAGCAAAGGCTGAGAGGATCATTTTCCTTTCTCAGTAAAGAGCCTATCTCATTCTGTTGTTGAAGCACTTAGGAGAGATCCCTTATATGGTTGCTTCTCCAACGTTAAGTTCCTTGACATTAGGAACAAACTGTTAGTAGTATAACCAATTGAGATAAGTGTTCCTTAACATTAGAACCCATGCTCCATCAGATTTGAGACAAGTGTCTCATATTGACCAAGGATATAATCACTTGGTTATCCAGTCTACACTGGGTCAAATRGATATCCATTGACCCAATAAGAGCTGGAATATGGATCCAAATAATCCAACAATATTGGTATCTCTATGCATRAAACATTTTCAAGTAAACAATCAAATAAATTTCTTTTTATAGAAAATAAATAAATAGATAATAATTTGAGAAAAACAAGTGAATGATTGTGTGTGAAAGTGTTGCATAGAGATAACCATAAAATAATCATCTTCCATCAACATGTGGCTTGTCACATGGCCATTGGATGTTCAAACATGTTGAGGATCAAAACGAGGGCCTATGGCCACTCTACCAACATCTCCCACTTGGCCAGTTAGGCCCGAGATGAATAAGTGCCAACCAACCCCTTTGCTTTGACATGCCTTACATAATTTGCAATTGCAATGGGTTTAGTCAATGGATCGGCAATCATTTATTTTGTAGGCACGTATTCTACCAGGATCTATTCCGTTGGTAAACATTATTTAAGTACCGGTACCGGACATCAATATGTTTCACTTCAAGGCATGCCATGGTGGCATAACCGAGTATCTTCGTAGTTCTCATTAGTACATCAAGATTTTTCACTCCTTTTGAACCCACAAATCTGCAAGTAATGAACTCAGTATGCATGACAAATTTAAATACATAGCTTTGCTTTCTTGTTCATCGATGAGACAATTGATCCTCCTAAGAGGAATCAGCACCTAATGGTGAATTTGCTATCATTTGGGTCACCTGCAAAAAAATAGCATGACACTAATCCAACACTTCCAAGTAATATGAGTTTGAAGTGTTTTACCTACTTTAAAAATCCAAGCACTCTTTTAATAGCTTTCCAATGGGCTCCTTAAGTATCTACTTACAAGACCAACAACACATTATATATTGGGTCTTATATAATATATTGCATAAATCAAGCAACTTATAGATTTAAGCACAAGATTTGCTTTTCATCTTCAGTATTTCTTCATTTATGGAAGCCATATCTTAATATTATCTAGCAGATTTGAGTGCCATTCCCATTGCAGTCTTTGATATAAACTATCTTAGAATCTTTTCTAAATAATGCTCTTAAAAGATCTAAAGTTCCGACCCCCCTTATCTCTTTGAGAAGCATCTTTC